GGGCCCCCAATACTTTTGCGACGTAGGACAGACGGTACACATCATCGCGTTTTCGGATTCGAACCCAATACTGCAATAGAAAAGTATGGGGGATAGCCTTTTTTTGCTTCCTCTGGCGCACCAGGATCATACTACTCCATTTCACCCCCACTCTTTTTGTGGTAGAGTGAGGCAGATTACTATGGCGCGGACCCCTTTGAAACACAAATTGGGGGAAAACCCACATTTTGTATTCTCCTTTCACCCCGGCAGGTTGCCAACCCTCAAGCCGCCCAACCACTTGGGGCCCCCTTTCCCAGCCTCCTTCAATGAAATCTGTTAAAGAGCTCCAAATATTTTTTCGGTTCCACAAACGCCCCCAAAGGGGGGGCCCCTAAACCAAGGGTAAAGAAACGCTTAAAACCCCCCTGTTCCCAGATTTCTTTTAGGGGTTTTTTTGCTGGACGGCAAAATTTTCCCTTTTCAGCTTTCCAGAGGGTTTTTTAATGGGGGGCACTTATAGCACCTCTTTTTTTTTCACCCTTTTACCCCGGCGCCGGGGATTCCTTTTCCCCCGAAATACGGGGGGAAATAACCCCCCTTTTGTTTTTTTCTTTTTGGGCGCTTTGCCTCGGGGGGTTTATCCCGGAAAAATTTTTTTTCTTCTTCCCTTTTTGGCCCCCCCCCCCCCTCCCCTCCTCCCCCCCCCCCCGCGGTCACTGTCCTGGCAGGATACAGAGCTATGCGGCGCAGCCTGGACAGCGTCGACGGGTTTGTGACAGAACTCTCTCTCTTCAAATGGACGCCCCTTCGGGATTCTTGATGTCTCCCAGGCTAGGTGATGGCAAATATCAGCTTGCGTGAGATGTGTTTGTTGTCGCTTGCCCTCATCTTCGCCGTAGAGACCCGACTTGTCAAGCAAGAAATTGATATCAGAATTCATTGCATGATTCTGACCACTACAAACGACCTTAGTACAGCTGTCGGGTATGTCGTGCTGTCTCGTACCTGCATGTTGCTTTGAACTCTGTGGTCTAATTAGCCGCTTCAGAATCAAGTGATTTCTTCAAAATTGACTATTCAGCTTTATCAAATACCCCCTGTGTGTGAGGTATTTTCCAATGTTAGACAGGGGTTCTTTTTTGGTTGGTTTATATGTATTTCGTTTGATATTGGCGGAATGATGGTTCCTATGACATGTCAGATATCCATGGGCTCCTCGATACTGAGAAGAGATTCCGTGACAACCCGAGACCAAGAGAAAAAGCAAAACAGGGAACAAACACTCTCATGATCCTCTTCCTCTGCTCTGAGAAGGTTAGTGGGGATTGCCATCAAGGCATTCGGCCATTCTTAATGTTACCCGGGCCTTGAAATAGCGTTTGGGAGAATGAGGATGGATGATTTTGAAACTGGCGCATACTTTTGAAGCGAATGTATGGCGGATCTTTCCGGGTTTGTCCGCGAAACAGCAAGAGTCTCTTTCTATATGCCAAATGCAAACCAACAAGGCCAGAAAAAGCAAGGCAGAGAAGGTATTCAGAATTGTTGTAGCTCGGGGTGGGTCTTGGGAAACTCTGAGGGGCAAATTTCAAATACAAAACATCCCAGCAGTCTGCCTCTGCCTCCTCCTGGAGCCGTTCTCCCCTTCGATTGAAGGAGCTGGTTTGTGTAATCGTGGTGTACTGGGCGCAATATAAGGTTTGATACCCTTCCTTGCCTTCAGTGTAGGCTCGGGTAATTACTTGGTGTCGCGTAATTCCATCTTTCCAGTTTCCGTGATCCCCATGATCCGCCCACATCCCAGCTACCAAGGAATTCAGGGCACAGTCAAAAGTTTCTGCCCAACAGTCAAATCTGTCATCTGCATTTCTAGTCGTCGATCCTCGCATCCCCGGAATAGAGAGTATAATAAGGAAGCGAAAAAGCACAAAATGAGTTTCCGAACTTTATCTTTCGTGGGGAACTCTTATGCATGTCATAGAATAATGGTGCAGATAACAACACCATGTGTAAGCAACTTCCCAGCTTTTTTGTATATCATCTCAGTAAATCCAACACCCCCTCCTCCCCCAATGTTGCGCGTTCCGGAGAGAGGCTGTCATCCTCGTGTTTGGTGGCTTTTGCCTTTTAAACTTTCGTTCCCTTTCATGTGCGTCAGCTTGTTAGGGTTTATTAGAGCAAGATGATAATAGGTGAAAAGCAAGGAGGAGAGAAAGGGGAGTGGGGAAAACAAAAGGTTTGGGAGAAACCAGAGCTGCAAACTCCGAATCTCCCATTCTAGGCATTTTGGACAGGTAAATGCCCATCCATTTCGCTTTGGAGTTACATTGCCTCAGTATCTGCCTGGCAGTGATGGCTATGAGGGAATTGCATGAATAGGAGGGAAGGTATATCATCGTAAAGCATCGTAAAGCATCGTAAAGCATCGTAAAGCCTGTTTCAGCAGAGGCCGAGACGCGTGTATCATCATGGGAGAACGAGAAATGGTGGGGGATTATTTCTTGAAACGGCAATTTCCCGCGTTGCTCCTGTATGGTCGAATCTTAGGTTGGTAGGATATATATATCTATGAGGTAAAGGTCGCAGAGCATGGATACAGATCCGAGGACGAAATGAACAACTTGTGGTAGAGGCCACCCTGTTCTTGGTTAAGCCGTTCGAATCGTTTTCATCTCCATACCGCGGTTGACTTTTAGTTTTGATTTCAGGGGTGCTTGATTGGTGTTCTAATAACCCCTCTGCCGGGTGTAAACGCTCGGGGAGTTCATAATTGCATAGACGGATACATCGATAGACAAGCAGAAATTGAGTAGTGAGACGTTTTAAAACGTGCAAACGAGTATGCCCATATGGAAGATGCTGCAGAAAAACAAGAAATAGAATAGAGGAAGAGAGGTGAGCTTTCATCAAAACCATCATAGTAAATTTCATCGGGGATGGATGAGAAGGGTGATAATGGTGGGTCAAATGAAATGATACGCCTCCAGCACTGACTTCACTTAACTCCTTGAGCAAAAGAAGTTCTAAGACTCTGACACACAAGTATCATGAAATACATAGAACCAAAGCTAGCAGTGAGGCCTCAAAACAAAAAATTAAGTAATGACATTAGATGTTGCTGCCGACCTGTTCAAGCATCAGATCTGTGTGGAATGGGATATACCATACTATACAATCGCTCAAATTTTCAACTATGTCTAATTTGTGAAGACCTGCACACTTGCCCCTGAGAAGTTTGAACGGATGGCAAAAACTCAAACATATAATTTATCCCGCGAAGTCCCACTATCCTTAACTAACGATATATGACCGTGAATTGACATCGGTCTCGAGTCACCAATAAGTCCAGGTATGTCCATCAACGGGCCACACTTTTCATAATCCTCCGTGCTATAATATTCGGCATGGCCCTTCACCTCGTCCGCATAGTCCGCTCCAAAACGGAAGAGACTAAACCCATCAAGCGTATCAGACCATCTCGGCGTGGGAGAGAACATGAGAGTGAGAATGACGGATACCAAAGTCCACGGAATGAGAAAATATAAAGGAAGCCAGATATGCTTCAACGGGCCTTGAGTGAGGATTTTTCCTGGTGTTGCGGCTGTGAGATTCTCATGGGTAAAGAAGCTGCGGGAGTTGAATTTGATGTTCGACATCCCTGAGGAGCCATTGGAGAATTTGATGTATTGGGCTAAGTCGTCGTATTTCGCAGCTCCATCATACATCAACTCTAGGGCATATGTGGCATGGCATTGGAGAAGAGAATTCCTAAGTTGCTTCGATTGGATATAACCAGGGACAACAAAGCTGTAATGTGTGTCGATATACGGGCGACCGTCCACCGACGAAATGATATTCTGAAGACCAACCTTCCCACGAGAGGGATTATCTCCTTCCGTGTTAAGCACGAGTTCGGCCGCTCCAGCACCAAAAGGTTTTACTCCGACATCCAAACTATAGGCGTTCCGAATTGCCTTAGCGTCAACGCGTTTGAAATTTGAGAAGCTGAGTGTGCGTCCGTCCACGTCAGCAATACCCACATCGGAGGAGGAGGTACATCGAGCCCCAACAACAACGTTCAACTTTTTGTTTGAGTCAAACAAGGTGTTATATCGGTCTGCAATTTCGGGGATGGACTTGTCAATCCCCATATCCATGATATCAAAGACACTTTGACCAAATAGGTCCGTACCACCAGCATCGGGATGAGCGGGGCGTGGGGGATCTAGATTCTGATAGAGGACATATTCAAAGACGAAATCTCTATCGAGGCCGGGAGCACGATATTCTTGGCCAAATGTGGAGTCGTATCGTAACTTTTCTGCGTTAGTCATGGCTATTTCTGAAACAGCCGCGTAGTTATCAATTCTTCCAGCTCGATGATCCCGAAGATACACCAGTCCCTCAGCTATGGTGCGGTCAATCGGGCGCACGGAATCGCTGAGGGGGTAGGAGTTATTTTCGGAGGAGGCTTTAGGTAGAGTGTTGTTCCCATGTTCGTGGAACCGGTTCAATATAGTGAGTTCGGAAATTTTAGACACTGAACTACAATTATATCGAATCACTAGCCCCCAGGTTGTCCCTGAGACTGGAACAGGGGCTTGGGGAGTGAGGAATATTTCGGGAATACCGGAATCTGGAGGAAATGTGTTGGGAATTTCCCTGAGGAAGTCGTAATCTGAACGCTTCAGCTCTGGTCGGGTGTACATCATGCCAAAACCAGGCAACCGGGCGGGCATCCCCATTGACCAGCCTGTAAAAGCCCTATTTAGGACTGATGTCGTTTCTCTGGAATCGAAGTTTTCCACGTTCCGGCCAAGCACCTCGGCTTTTTTAGAAGTCATGCCAGTGTTCTGGATATAGCCATCCCCAACTTCCATACAGAGGCCAGAGATTGGAAGAGCTATAAGGGGGAGAGCACTCAGAACAAGAAGGATATACCAGAGTATGGATGGAAAGTGGCCTCCACCATCTTGTTTAGATGCCGTGCGTCTTCTGCTGAGGAACATAACTTTTTGGGTGATCTTCCACCAACCGGTGGGACCGCTCCAGGTCCGGTCCGCATGCATCATAAGCTGGAGTCCATCCTTGGGTCCGATTGATGGAGTGTACATCAGCATTCCTGCCTCGACACCCACGAGGCCATACTTCGTTGCGTTCAGCCCAAAGATACCTAAGCAACACGTATCAAGAAACATTCTCTAAATGTAAGATGCTTATGATGTGAATAGACAAAAACTTATACCGATGATGAACCAACTCCAATAAGCAAAGTTCGCCCCAGCTCGGCCAATTTTCAAAGGATTTATGCCTTCATCTTGGGATTCCAGGAAATATTTAACCAAAAAGATAAAATACCCAGTAACTGCAGGGGGCACTACGACGCCGATTAATGTTCGGAGCCAGAAGCGACGAAGCTTGTAGCCAGACGGCTGATCCTTGGGTTGGGGCACATTGTCGAGAGGCGGCTTCATGGAAGAAACTGATGAAGCATTGCCCAACTCTTCTGAAGGCACAATTGGGGTTGGCAAAAGCTGTCGGGCGACGCTGCTCTCATGCTGTTTCTCAGTGGCTCTGAAAGTTAAGGAAAGGAGGTGCTGGATGAATGCTCACCTGTTGTCATTTGGGTCGGTATCTTGTACCAGATCATAGCTAACTGCTGCCATGATGCGACTGAACTGGCACGCGACCACTTCCTTGCGACCTCAAGAATCAATCAATGCGGTCTCCTGCCAAGTTGTGTTTACTAGTGCTCGGTTTCGGAGGTTTAACAAGGCGGGTTCTGACTACCACTTCGGCGTCAGTCATTCATAAAAGAGCGCAGTGAGTTCACCCAAACATGGGAGAAGCATCAGGGCCTTTTAAAGTCTTTCATGCCGGCCAAACTCTTCAAGCTGCCAGAAGCTGTTACGTCCGCTCCGATCTCATGGAACTGACCACCCTTGACTTGCAAGGTTCTTCCCAAGCATCGCTTCTCTCTGCAAGATTGCGCAGGATCCATGATGCTAAACAAGTGTGTCAAAACCAAAATAAGGTACGGAGTTCGGAGTAGAGGCTACGTTCCTTAGACAAGGCCTATCATCTAAGATCGTTCGACGCAAGTCATTGACAGGGAAACGATTCGCCCAGGCACGAAGAATTAATGCTTGTCAGACATGGAGGAATCTGACCCAGTGATGCTGGGGCCAAACAGCTGTGTTTTATTTAGAACAGAGTGCATAGCAATGAATCTGCTAGTCAAGTTAGAGGCCGATTTTGCATCATGGCGTGAAGAACCAACTGGTTTGGCTGTGAAGTAAGTAGTGGTCAGTGGTGCGCTGAGATATTGCCACGACATCTACGAGTTAATGAGAAGGCTTCCAAAGTGATGACAATGGTTGATGAAGATGCTGTAGAATCTGGAGAAAGATACTAAGTAGTTGACTGTCTTGTTTTGATGTTTTCATGACGGTGTAAAATTTTTGAGGATGACATTGGGGGTGACAAGACGAGGTACCTTGCTAAGAGGTAGATTTAACTGGATTTTAGCATGTCAAAGTACTTGGTTCCGAAGTACCAGGATACCTCCACCAATCCGCCACTTCAGACATGAGCCTTTTCTAGTTTTTGCAACCTCAAGTTTCAACGGATAGCAGTGGTTGCAAGGACTTCGACAAACGTGCCATAGAGGAGAGGCGAGGAGAAGAGCTATTAGCATGCGTACTGCAGTTTCACAAGCTTCTATTCTTGAATGCTGATGTTATTTGGCATTCTACGTTATCTGCGTAGCCCGCGGTGAGCATTGAGATCTGCTCAGCATGCTACCATTTATCAATACTCGTATGTTTCCTTCATCAGACGTTCTCGTGAATATCCAATACTAACACAAACGATTATGCAGCTTTTGTGCCGGTAGCGAACGCAACAGGAGCATCCATTGACGAACGTACGTCCACCTTCAAGAGTGTTGTTGTACGGTCATCTCAGCCGCTAATATCACATCTCAAATAGTAAAATTGATTACATCGCTCCTCCTTTCATACCCTCTTGCCGGCACCTTGAAAAGGATTCCGGACTCGAAGCCATGGCAGAAAAATTTGTTTATCGTTGGCGTTTCATTATTTTACCTGGTGGGTTTATTCGACCTCTGGGATGGAGTGCGGACCATATTTTATAGCTCTGCAGGGGCATATGCTATAGCTTATTACATCGACGGATCATTAATGCCGTGGCTCGCGTTCGGGTTTCTAATGGGCCATATGTCTATTAATCATATATCCAGACAACTCGCCAATAGCCCGTCTACTGTCGATATCACGGGAGCTCAGATGGTGTTGGTGATGAAATTAACCGTCTTTTGTTGGAACGTACATGACGGTCGATTACCGCAGGAGAAGCTGTCAGAATCTCAGAAATACGCAGCTATCGCCAAGCTCCCTAGCCTACTTAATTTTGCGGGCTATGCACTCTTTTTCCCGTCTCTCTTTGCGGGGCCGGCTTTCGACTATGTGGAATATCGAAAATGGATCGAGACCACCATGTTTGATGCGCCATCTGGTGTAGACCCAGCGAAGAAGCCCCCGACTCGTAAGAAGCGAAAGATCCCGAGAAGCGGTAGGCCTGCTATGCTGAAAGCAGTGATGGGTTTGTTCTGGATATTCGGCTTTCTGCAATTTGGAAGTGTGTATACCGTCGACTTTCTCCTGAGCGACAATTATTCGAAATACGGACTGCTGAGGCGAATATGGATACTCCACATGTTTGGATTTACTGCGCGTCTCAAGTATTACGGAGTATGGTCCTTAACTGAGGGGGCCTGCATCTTATCGGGAATAGGATATAATGGCTTCGATGTAAATACAGGTAAGGTGTCTTGGAATCGATTAGAAAACGTGAACCCAAAGGGACTGGAAACGGCACAGAACCCACACGATTATCTCAGTAACTGGAATAAAAATACCAACCACTGGTTGAAAAACTATGTGTACTTGAGGGTGACCCCAAGGGGCAAAAAACCAGGATTCAGAGCGAGTCTCGCCACGTTTATAACAAGTGCATTTTGGCATGGTTTCCACCCTGGATACTACTTGACCTTCATACTAGGTGCATTCATTCAAACAACTGCAAAAAGTACGTCACACCTTTCTTAGCTCATTATCCACTTTTATTGATTAAAACTAACATAGGAACAACCTCTCAGACTACCGTCGCTACGTTCGGCCCTTTTTCTATATTTCAGACGGGTCCTCCCCAACCCCCTACAAACGCATCTACGATATCCTGAGCTGGCTAACAACCCAACTATCTCTCTCATTTATCGTCGCTCCCTTCGTAATTCTTCACTTCAAAGACAGCATTCACGTCTGGTCAAGTGTCTACTTCTACGGGATTGTCGGCATAGTCCTCTCCCAGGCTTTCTTCTCCAGTCCCGCAAAGGGTTACCTGGTTAAACAACTAAAAGCCCGTGGTGGCCCTGCTACAAAGCCGGCCTATGCTTCTCGAGATAATAACGAGTCACCTGTGCTTGGACTACCATCCAACCCGGGTCAGGATATCGATGATGCCATGAAAGAAATCAAGCTCGAGATCGAGGCACGGAGGAGGAAAGGAAGCGTTGTGACTATGCCATCGGGGCAAGAGCTGAAAGCCTTGCTGGAGGAGAAGCTTGAGAGGAAATTATAAGGTGCATATTACATTCTATTGTAGATTCACCGGAATAATTTTGTCTCCCTTTTCTCCCCCTTTCTCGCTGCGGCGCCCGCCCATCGATTCTATTGTTCTGGATTTATTCTTTGGTTTCCACATCTGCGCATTTTCTCTCCATTTTACCCATATTTTTGGCTCTATGTCTTCTACATCAGGCAACCTGCGCGATTTCAATCATTCTGCTTTACCCATCTTCATGAATCTTTGTTTCTCTTCATAGTTACGGCTATACCTACTCTTCCCTTCATCCCCATTGCATCTAGCGTTTTGCCTTAAGGTCCATCCAGAACCTTACGTCTTCGCCTAGCATCTACGGACAACTCAAAGACAAATATTTACACATATACAGAAATATTTACACACAATGCAGTCAATTTGGGATCACATGATTACATATTGACGATATAAATGAGCACTCCTCTCCTGTAACTGGAATGCTAAATATCGCATGTGGTTCCCAGAATAAAAAGGGACAACATAAATTTTGTGATATCCAGACTGTCCGGGCTGCAAAGGGGCTCCCAGGGAACTCCCAACTTCCAAGAGGAGAACCTTAAGGTACTATGCTATGACAACTGTTGCTAACCCCGGTTTGAATCTTGTGGATGTGTTTCCGGTTTAGAATTATTGAGAAACTTGAATCGACTCAGGTTGAGACGAACATTTCCACCATCCAATATTGTTTATCAAAGAGTCGGGATGTAAGACCGACTACAGAGAAAGAGTGAAAAAAAAAAGAAAGAAAAAAAAAACCATGTAAGTCTGCCTACTCTACCTTCCAATCCCCTGACAACATTCCAGAACCGTTCTCCCAAACATGACAATGGCCAAAACCCCAAGTATTCCTTGAACTTATCCATTAGATCGTGTTATAGACGGCGCCAAACAACTAACTGTAGAGAATGACACCGAGAGAGATGATATCTTCCCGTGAGTGTGACGGTTGGCCTTGCAATGGCTTTCGTGTTGTAGCAAGGCCCTGCCTGGGACCTCAGGGTTCCATTGGTTTAGCCAGATGCCGAAAACGATGGCAAATGTGAGATACAATGTGTCGAATAAGGCGATGGATAGATATCGTCATATTCTTTGACTCCGGACGTCGGGGAAAGCTGAGAAGGAGCCAAGATCCCCGCGCAGTTGGAGACGGTGAGATTGGGGATTTAGCATTTAGGTCCGACTATATATGTATGTAGCACGATCCCCATGCAACCTTGAAGACGTGAGCATAACTAACCCGGTAAAATTAGCTGTCATAGATGATATGGAAAATGGTAGAGGTCGAGAGACTTCGAGACTATCAGACCAGATATCGGAAGTGCAATTCCTGGGCCAAATCAGCATTGTACAAAAATTTCTTTTACACAACGATCAGCAGCAAGCTTCAGAAATCGCCATTGGGTGTCTGCGCATCGCTACTGTAAAGAAGGTTTTCGTTCACAATCTCCAGTGTCTTTGAAGGGTGTTCAACTTCTCCCACAGTCTGGTAATCGAAAAGGCGCACGCTCGCGGGGATGCCGCCAGAAACCCCCACGCATCAACGCATGTAATGCTGATTTACGCAAAAGAGTACACAGACGAATAGGGTTATCGGTCGGAAGATTGGGAGACCTGGAAGCAGCGCCTCCAATCTTCTCGTCGATAAGAAGGATGACAAAAACGATAGAAGAAGGGATACCAGAGCCTGGACGATAAACGCAGCCAGAGGCTGCTGTCCATAACTTGTTTAGCAAGAGAATACTCTCGCCATTGATATGATATAACTAGACCATGGCTTTCTTTTATGATAAAACTCACGGCCAACATGGAAGACAGACACCACTCACAACAATGCCCGTGATATCAGGATTTGCAGACCCAACACTCTTGCACAGTGGTGGTGTAGAAGCCACTGACGAAATCTGCCGGAGAGAACAGCTTCCAAAGCTGTTTCGCCAATTGACCCATCAATCAATGCGCAGGGGCACACCGTTGATTGTATATGGCCGGCAACGCGTGTCAAAGGAATAGTGGTGCCCGTAATCCACGGTTGCAGTCCTATTTTTCAATTCTTTCTATTCTCATCCAGCGATTCGTGGAGAGCGCCCAGCCTTGCACCAATCTCGCATTGTGCCGGGTACCTAAATATGATATAGCCCTTCATCTCGACTTGTATCCTTTTGCGTTTTCCTTATTCAAGCTATGAATGCGTGATCCTACCTTTGGATGCAGCCGGCAAATATCTTATTAAACCAACAGCAATTTGTCAGTGGAAAGTGCAGCAGTTTGTTAGGATTCGAAGTATCTCTCTCACGCTGCCACATCTGTAATATACGAAATAGTCTTACAGCTTCCCTTCTCTCCTCTTCAACAACACCAGTTTCATTTCACTGTTGATCTAATTTTCGAAATGTCAGGGTGACCAAATAGCAATCACAAAAAGTGAAGAGCGACCCATGATGTTCCGTGGAATCCGCTGGTTTGTCGAATGTAGATTGATATAAGCGAATTCTCTGAAAGTAAATGCATGATTAGCTATGTAGATGTTTAAATCCCCCGAGAGCCATTTCAATCTACACTATTTCACAGAAGACCACAGGGAAATCTATTGGATCACTATGATTCGTTTGTATTCATTTGCCACCTATGGCTTCTTCTCAAGTATTCCATCCCTAAACGGAACAATAAATAGCGTAGTCCGCAAGTATACAGTACAGAGTCAATAGTCAGATGATAATCGGTAATATTGCGTGCAACACAACGTACAACTTGACCAGAAAAAAGAAGTAGATTATATATAAAAACTAGAGGGAATTTTTTACCCAACGTCCCCTCGAAACCCAAACATAGATAAGAACTAAAACAGGTACATAACATAGTATAGTGCAATACAGTACAGTTCAGTGCATTTGTATATACAACAGCATATTACGTATGTATGCCTAAATAGCGGTGCGGAGAAGCTAAAATGAAACAAAATATTGAAATCAACCCCAAAGAATGACCTCAAAAAGACAGAAGAAAAAAGAAGAAACGGAAGAGGTAATCGTATGGAGGATATTCGGAATAGCGCCTTTTCCTTCCAGTATCACACGCGTCACGTGTGGTGCGTGAAGATGAAGAGAGAAGTCCCTGGCGTGGGAGTAGAAAGAATAGCAGTGTAGAGCGCGCTGGGTTGGAATGGAAGTGGTTGATGGAGGTGTCAGTCGCCTGGATAGATGGATGGGTGGATTGCATGCATGCATGGAAGCACAAGAAATACAGAATACGATGTGAGATATTTGGAAGATTCGAAAGAAGGGCATATTAAGTTCGCCTGGTAACCCCCTGGGGGGTAAAAGGGGGGGGCCGTGTGTTTGAGTTGTGGTTGACTTGCGGAGCTATCTTTGAGAACGAAAATGGCCCAAAAACGAAAGGAACGAAACGGGGATATAGAAAAAAATAAAATAATAATAATAATAATAATAATAATAATAATAATAATAATAATAAAATAAAGACTGAGAGAACCCCAGTTGACACCAGCACTAGTTTGATCGAATGGTAAAACGGTGAGAATGCAAAAGCAATGTTGGACTGTGCTTTGCTACGTGGTGGGCTTCGGAAAGACTCGAGAATAGTTGAAGGGAAAGGAAGAAAAAGCGCCATGTTCCGAGGGTATCGACTCTACTTCATTATTTTTATTCACGGGTTCGGTTTTGGAAAGATGCTTCATATCGGCATAAAAATTCGTGAGCGTGCAAGATTAGAAAAGCTAGCGGCGGGAGAGAGTTTTCATCGTCTTTCCACGAGCAGGACTGCCAGCGCCACCTGAAACATTGTAAAGAATTAGTATTGGATTCTCTTTCATTGACAACAAAAGCTGGATCGGATATATATCATGAAAGCACCTACCACTATAGCAATAACTGCCAGCCCAATTGGGAACATGAAGCGATTAACCCTCCGCCACCATCTCGCGTTCTCATGCCGCGTCTGGTCCACCAGAACAACACGATTGCGGAACGCATGTTCCAGATCCGGCCGGCTAGTGGTTGCCTCCTCACTTACTTCGCTAACCTGGGGAGGGAGAGGTAGAAAGGAGGCAATGATCCAGGCCAATGGGAACACGAAACCCAGAGCGAAAGCATAAACCTGTACGTTGCGTCGGCTTATAAGTCCCTCCGCCTTCTCATCCAGCGAAGGCGGCTTCCACATGCTCCTCCGCACATTATTGGCGCGTTTGTCCGTATACAAATGGGGAGACCATGCACCCGGCAAGTTCTCCATGGGTTTGGGGTGTTTGAATTGCTCGAGATCGGGCACCCAGTGGACTCTCGGGTCAGTGGGATCGACGGGTTCAATAGCATCAACGCGGTCATCGGGATCATCGGGATCCTCAGGCGGGGTAGGGTTACCCGGTCGTGGTGGATAACTGATTTCACGGGGGCGAACTCTTGGGTTACTTATGCCCAGCGGCGTCCGGCTGACCATTGGCGGCGGGTTGCTGTTATATGCCGCAGATTTGGCAGAGATGGCTGATGAGGGCGGAGATGGGGGTGTTGATGGGCGGCTTTCGAATGTGAAAAGAGAAGCAAACTGGGGTCCAAGTCCACCACTCCGATAGTATACTCTGGCCCAAGTAGGGATCGTGTGGAGGATCGAACTGTTGCTTGGCGAGCGAAGGAAGTTTCTAGGGTTGCTTAACGCTGATAACGACGATGAATGGCTTAATGTTCCAGAGGTTTTTTGTCGAAGGGGTAGGGAACGAAGATGCGTTAAGTTATCGCTGTGTTCCTCGGCTTTGGATTTATCAACAGGCCTAGCCGACGGACTTGAAGAGGCGTGTCGTTTAGGCTCAGATGAACCTCTTGTCCCACTACCGTCCGAGCGATCATCGCGGGGTGATGGAGGGGAAAGGCTTTGTAATCTCTCTGCTGACCACTCTGAGGGAATGGTCGACAAATGCGGGTTCAAGCCTCCAGAAAAGCGCTCAATCATGGACCGCACGAGCGAAGTTTCGGCCCGCGAACTTGTTTGTGGGTAACGAATGACAGGGTACTGGACGGGAGCTCTACTACCCACGGACGACTGACCATCTGGAATGGATCGACTACTGCCAGTAGAAGCGGATGACGTTGTGTTGAGCCGGAAACTTGTTGGGTGGGGAAGATTAAATGATGTAGTGGACTGATAGGATCTCAATGCCGCATTTGGTGGACTTGAAGGAATGGAAGGGGATGGAGTTACACTTTGCAGCTCAGATGAAGAAGCATCTGTCAAGGTACTGTTCCGCTGACCGGCGCGGATATATCTTCTGACAGTTCCAACAGAGTTGACTTCGAAGAGCGAGGATTCAGTCGGAGAGGATCTTCGAAGAGGAATGAAGTTGGGCGATGAAGGTTCGATAGGCCGAAAGGTTGGACTGGAAGTTAGACCAGTGGGGATAAGGCTGGGACTTAACCTTCCATCAGCAGGCACAGTTTCGGCATAGGTCGAATCGGTTGGAGAAGCGGTGGCAGGTGACGATAAGTTTTGGGTAACTACTTTGATTGTGGGCGGAAGTTGGACACCATCGCTGTCGGATGAATTGTCGTCATTCCGTTCCTCTTTGTTCTGCCGGCCACTGTCTAACTTATATGAAGTACTCGAGTGTGGTATGGAAGTTTTGCTTGAGTCGAGGGAATCATCCCATGTATGATTAGAGGAGACTGTGCCATGGAGGGTGGTGGTGGTGGAGGCCTGGCCCGAAGCGTCTCTTAGACCATGGTCTGATAGGCTCTGGTCGCGTCTGACACTTGAGCCGGGGCTTCTGATTGGATCGAGAGCTAAATGTGAAACGTTGTGCCCCGTCTCGCAAATCGACCCTTGGTTACCGCCCGCTGGCGGCAACAGGACGTGTTCTGGCTTCGTCGGATAAGGAGTAGTCGAGAAGATACTGGTTTCATCTTGCGAATCCTGATTCTGTATAAGTCGCACCGTCGTAGGGAGACTCCGTCCGTTCGTTTGAGACTGGGATCGTTCGTGGAGAGGCCTCCGCCTTGGGGTTGTTGGAGACATGGGTCGATGAGCCGAATGAGAGGGCGGCATCCCAGCACCGGTAGAAACGGACTTCGCGAAACAATTAGATTACCGGAATTACCATAAAAAAAATAGAGTCTAAATCGACCGGAACCCTATCTATCTATAGTTAAAAAAGCATATATATAAATGAACGTATGAACAGGGGGGGAAATATTAGTTCATGAAATAAGAATATATATATATATATATATATATAGAGAGAGAGAGAGAGAGATAAAAATATGACCATGAAGGCATCTGAAGAAGAATCGTGAAGAAAGGAAGCGCCACCAAAATTGGGTATATTCGAGCGTAGACGGACACGGAAGGAATCCGGGGGTCGAAGCAGAGAGAGCGAATGTGGGCGAGAGAGCGAGAGAGAGGAGGATGCCTCGAATTAATTAATATCCGTTCCTTTGGTTGGGAATCGGGCGGGAACACAAAAACGAGTGTGGTTTTGATATTAGTTTATGGGTGAGAACAGCAACAAGGAGCAGGAGCAATTAATTGCGCTGGAGGACTACTGTAGATGAAAAAGAGCGACTGGGGATTATGAACGAAAGCAATTGAACTAATTCAAACTGACGAAAAGCACCGAAAATCAACGCGGACGCAATTAGAGCTGGACAAGAGAAGGAGAGGATGGGGTAAGGGGGGAGGGGGGAGGGGGGAGGGGGGAGGGGAAGGGGAGGGAGGACAGAAGACGAAGAAGTGAGGTTAAAACGAAGCGCGGAGGAGACGGAGAAGAAGATGAGGTTGAGATGTGCGAATTCAAGAGAAGGAATGCGCTAGTAACTCAAAGGGGAATAGTGTCAGGGTGAGGCTCAACACGTAATTGGCCCAAAGGGAGACTTGGGCGGTGAGTGGATCACGTGTCAGGGAATCGGAATGCGGGACTGTCAGTTTCGTAGGTAATATATAAGATAAAAATATATATATCTCCTGAGTAAACAGATCAAAAGCGAGGGATGATTGTAACGATTTTATTCCGGTGTGCTTCTCCCTGTACCGTTATAAGTTATATTCCTGTTTAAACGCTGTAGCTAGGATTAGCATTGTTTTTGTTTTGAAAGAGTTCTCTCAGAGCTCCCTTCATCATTCGTTTTTCTGTTTACAAAACGCTCTCTCACGCGCGTAAATTACAGGTTTTAGAAAATAGCTAGCTATTTGTGTTTATTCGCAGGATCGAGCGAAATCCTTGGAAGCCGTTCGGGAACTCAAACTGTAACACCTTCGAAGTTCAAATCGGCCATGGTTCGCTCTGAACTCTCCTGACAATCAGGGAAATTCTCCCCCTGCATGCGGAGAAAATACATGCAGAGGCTCTTTGGCTGCTGACAAGAATGCCATTGTTGCGGAGGAAGCGGGTAACAGTCCAGGACATGCAAACTCTTTAACCAGAGAAGAACCAAGGAACTAGATTCTCACTGCATGAGAATTAACCGCTGATGGGTGTTCTTAAAATATCACAGATCCCATGCCAACTCACACCTGCGTGTGACTAGGCCCGCCTCTTTTTTGCTTCTCAGAAAAGCAAAACAAAACAAAACAAAATAAAATAAAATAAAGAAAAACATAAAACCAAGCACCTATGGCCCGATTTCATTTTTCTTTTTTGACAACATGATTGAACAACTGAGTCTATGATGCAATCATTTATTTCGCTTGGTTGATATTCGACGCAACGTCCCTATCTTTCCGTCTGCATTTGATTAAGGTTCCACGGCTGTAAAAACATCGTTTTCATGACTCCCTGCAGAGTGGGAAATAGTCTTGACCCCCTTTTCGTGCATTTTAATGTTCTCCACGATGTTCAAATGGTGGTTCTTCTGCAAGGGACGTGCAGAAACACACAACCACGGATGCAGCGCGATCCCACGCTTACGGGAGAAAGTGAAAACCCACACACATGGAATTGGACCCTTCGAAATAAGAAGCTCGTTCCATATTGTAAAAATATATCACAATTCCGAGAGTCTATCGGGGACAATAGGAGGATATATCGTTCTTCCACACGGTTTATCTGTCACATTCCAACTGTACATTTATTTTAAACCTGGACTCTTCCAGATTCGAGTTCCAAACCTTCCTTTGAAAACCAGGACACGGAAACTTTCACGCTCTACACATATCCTCACAATCCCCATTGGGCCGCCAACACCATCTAATGCGCACTCTGCATAGTTCAAAAAAAAAATAAAATAAAATAAAATAAAAGGAGCATTTTCGTTTTAGCCAAAAATCTCCTCCAGTCTCCTTGTGAGAAATGGCATTTTGGATTCCCGCTATATTTATTGTTCATTGATGTTTTCGCATCCGATGTACGGAAACTGCAGCAGCTGAGAACTCAACTGGGCGATGTCTCCTGGGTTTGAAGAAACCTTCTAAGAACACCGGTGGGTGCATATATTGTTGGATGTTGATCATGCATAAAATCACCTTCGAATCTCTAGAGGGTAACTAAATAGTTGTTATGTCCAAATTTCTGGAACCCTACCTGATTGGGGTGGGAATTAATAATCTGCAGGACTGTACGGAGTAATAGTATTATTTGATTTCTGTTGCAGCTCACTTACACTTTCATTTAGATGTATGCAGTCAAAGACTATGGCATCTATCTAGTTAACCTAGGATTTGAACTATCTTGTGAATCTAATCAATAAACATGACTTAATTTAGCACATGCAATTATGAAATTCCATCCCAGGATGATACTGCATTTAACAGATGTTATAGAAGGCAAGGTTAACTATACAGTCTCGATTTAGTAAGCAATCAATAAAACAATCAGAATCAAAATCACAAAGAGAAAAACAAGCACTTTAAAGAAAGCATTGATAAACAAATTGAAATACACAGAGGGTGTCTAAATTTGATGTTTGCTAACTGCATACTTTCAACAAGTCTTGGTTGGATTTAAGCTTTATTCTCTGGAGGCAATTTTTATTATAAAGTCAATGTGGGCCCCCACAGAGACTGCCTAGCAACGGCATAGCAAACCGCCGAGCGGAAAGGAGTATATAAGGAGATCAACTCCCCAGGCCCCTTTTCGTAAATCACCGTAGTATTTCGTTGAATTGGCTGACAGCAATCAAACACCCGTTTATCTGCGCCTAGATTGAAGCCGTAACACTGAAGACTCTTTTTTGAGAATATCTTCTTGTAGTTCTAGATGGAAGATCTAACTTTTTTTTTTCTCGTTGAAGGCCGGTCTATCTTTTCAATTTTTTTCTTAAAACTTTATTCTTTTATCTTTGAATTAAAAAGAGTAAACTAAAACTGGATATATGTGACTTTCCTGGCAATTTTTATACTTGATTGTGATATGAGAATTTTAACTTTGCAGTTTGACCAGGTAACTAGTTATGATCTTTTGTACTATGATTTTCTGCATATATCTTACAAGCTAATAGAATGTTTACGTACTTCTATAATGTTCTCACTTTTAACATCTTTTACAGTGGATATGAGTTTTGATTATAGATTTAGAGTCAAGATATTTAAAGATTTGCAGTGATTAATTAGTCATAAAAAGAGATGAAATTTTTGTCTACTCTACAGAATTAGCTATAATCATAACTGAATCTACTTCTTTCTCTTGTTTGATCTCAGGTTTGCTAAGTGAAATAGAGTTACTTTTCAGTTTAATAGAGATATTATACTTCTCTATTTTTTCTTTCGTAATATTATGCTTTCAAGCTGCTATGACATTTGGTTACCGCTGTTATACACTCCGCCAAAATTCAAATCCGTTGCACATCTCTAAGCATTCACCCAGCCTTGAACCAGCAAAGCCCCGGGAAAAATATTTACCTCACACATTTCACGCCTGCTTCTTCTAACTAAATCCGCTACTGCTTTGCTCTCATAGCGAGCTCCCCGGCGGGCTCGGAAGGACAGAAAATCCATTTCAGAACATCAAAGGCTACCTCCTTGTCGTAATTGTCCTTGCCGAGGTTGTATATATAGCCCTCAGCGTCAAGGTGAGCGTTGGGTACGTTTCCGATGGGTTGCAGGTCGCTTGGACTATGCATACTTTCCCGTAAATGAATGTCACGATCGTGGCCTTGGCGGGCACTATTAGCATTATCACAACCCCCATGGATACGAGTAATGGGAAGGAGATGCAAAGACGAGAGGAGGTGATGTACATACCGCCAAGAAACCTTTCCTTGTATATGGGCTTGGGCATATACAGGCCCTTCTCAGGAAGCCACACCATCTCATTCATCTGACGGTAAAAGATCGAGGTGACTGCCAGTAGTTCACTTTTCAGAAGGTAGTCTCTATGATTTTCTTGCGGTTTTGTGTTGAATGAATGTGCTTGAGTAGTCTCAAATCATGCAGCTCCAGTGGTTATGATGAAGATGGAAGATCTGTTCCCCCTTAATGAAGGGATGGAAATTGATTATGATGCTGATGCTCAGCCTGCAGAAAAGTGGGCCATATCATTTAATAAAACATCAAAAGAAGATAAGAAAAAAAACGAATAAAGAACCATCAAAGATATAATTATACATACCATTCAACCTTCGTGAAAGGAACCTCATCTAGGACCAGGTGGGTAGCGGTCTTCATGAAGCCAGAGAAACCCCAGTTGCTTGGGAGGCCCTGACCTTTCTCCGGTGCAGTAACTCTCTCGCATTTGTGGATGGCTTGTAGGAGCTGTGGGGTTGTTGGAAAAGTCACCTTCTCTCTGGTGCTGTCCCTACAACGCACCTTGAGGTCTTCCGTCTTTTGAAGCCACTCAAAGGGGAACGAGTCTGACGAGGTAAGTGATGCACAGACGAAAGAGGTCCAACATGAGCCAGCCAACGTCCTCCGGGCAATTGAATGGCTGCATTTCTGATTGCACAGCATGCTATTAATGGAATGTCGGCTTCTCTGTTAGTCTGGTAGGTAGTTGATTGATGATAATGAATTCTTTTATGCGGACTGTCGCCCATCAAGTGATTTACCACCATGGAAAGAAGTGAAGTACGCCCCAGGCCGCCCTTTTCTCTTCTTCTTCTTCTTCTTCTTCTTCTTGATATTTATCTTTGTCGCCGGCTCCGTCGCCTACGCGCCTCTGCTGCCTTGTGGTTGGTTTCTCTCCATCTCAACTTTTAAGGTTAAACTTGCCTTAGCATGTCCCCACCCTATGAAGTTAAGCGCGGACACGGCAGCTCCGTCGCAAGGCCGCTCAGAGACCTGGACGAAATCCCATCCAACAAACAGGAATGGCACGAAGCGATGCAAACGTATGGCCTTCAACAGCGCACCCTCGAGCAAATGTGCATGGAAGGTAGCTGCCCCCTGACCAATCTTGGATCTGCGAACCGGCTTCTAATGTCGAGAGAGTGCTAAACAGGGAGCTTCTCTGCATCGACTGTTCGAAAAGAAGCATTACTTACCATCCGATGCATTTAGCCCGAAAAGAAAAGACCCAAAGATGCCTCCACGTACATTGCCAATCTAGAGTATTTCTTCAATGAAGACCATTCCGATGATGCAGCAAGACTTATAAGCAGAAACATGCTTGGACTTGGTTAGCTGAAGACCTTGTATCGCATTATATGCACCCCAAAGGAACCCCGCAGGCGCACCCCTCCCGAATTCTTCGGCACGCTTGCAGATGGGTTAGGCCCCTTCTCGATGCTGGTCAATTTTGTACGACCAACTTCTGGATAGATCGATTCAAGCCCCAAATCCATGAAAGTCTATTGAGCGGGGCTCCCGAAAGGGCCAGATTCTATGACGCCACGCGGCCCTCAACAGTTGTAGATCCTACAAGTCCAACCCGCCAGGGCTTTATCTCAGAGGAGCTGATGACACACGTCGAAGATCAGCCGATAGCTCGTTGTCCTGCTCGTACGTGTCCGCCTGCTGCAGCTTCAGTTACAGAACCAACAGATGGGGAACCACCTTGCCGAACCCCAGCCGAGACTCTAGTTGTGGATTTTATGGTTACTCTACTCGGGGGGGGGGGGGGGTTAGCAAGCCTTGTTTGTACAGACTCTCAACCCCAGGCCCTCTGCATCGCAAATGCCTTTGAGACAACCTGTACATTTGGCCCTGTCCGCAATACTTCTCAGCAACAAGTCGACGTTGGGTTCCGAGCCCGTATTGATGGGAGCATCCCATTCGGTCTATCTCTGGCTGGGATGCCACCTGAAGCCGCGATATTCGAAGCAAAACGTGCGGCACGTGGAGAGAGCAGGGGCAGTATCCTGTTTTGGCCCAGCAGTTCGATGAAGCATGTCGCCTACATCTGGAAACGCCATGAAGATGACCTGACGGTGATACCAACCCCTTATAAATTATTATTCTTTCTATATTAAAATTGATTTTATTACATATTAAAAAATTAATTATAAATAAGTTAAAATATTTATAGAAAGCTTTAATAAAATTTTAAAAATTATAAAATTTTTATATTTATTTATTTTAATTATAATAATTTATTTTCTTTTATAAAAAAATTTAATTTATAATTATTTAAATATTATTAAAAATAATAAATAATAAATTAATATTTAATTAATATATTTTTATTTATAATTTTCATTAAATTTGTAATATATAATTAAAAATTAAAAACTATATATATATTTTTTAATATTAAGTAAAATAATAATGTTTACATAATTATTTATATAATGTATATAATATTTTTCTTATTTTATTTAAAACTATCTTTTATTATATTATATCTGATAGAAGTCACTATTTCTAAGATAAAAATTAATTAGATATTATGTTATAATTTATATTACTGCTAAATATGATTATCATTGTTATTAATAGTAAATTCTAATCTCAGATCAAATGATATAGTCGCTAACTCTACACATTCATGTTGAATAATAATAATCATCATCATGATGGATTGATGACATTTCAACAAGTTAACGTTTGATTAGACGGTTGAAGATATTTTGGTTTTTAGTGACTCGTGAATTATATTTATCCGATGTTCTTTGATTCTCAGGTAAAATCTTAGCCTTCCAGAGGGGATGTCTTTGAGTTTAACCATTCATCTTTTTAAGTACGTAAGATGGGACACGGCTATCTGTCTCATAGATGTGTGAGCTACGCATGTTTCCTAATATGAATAGATCCTTCAACGCCTCACGGCTCGAGCAACAGCCACGTGCAGTAGAGCTGCAAATGCGCTAAGCTCCATTTGGTAATTGTATTTCCCAATCCAGTAAGCACGGTATTATATATATAGTTTTTGGCTTGATGTCCCTAGAGTTTAAAGCCTCTGGCACAATCGCTGAAGTTAACCTTTCCATACATCCGATACAAACTAAAATTTATAGATAGAAACACATTTTCATTGAAATCCAAGAGATCAATGGAGAACTTCTCTTTCTAAACAACAGACAGGCACGATAACTCCCCGCGCTCCCCATCATGAAACTGTGGGAAAGAATCAAGGACGATATCCGAAACGACGTGAACTGGAACCGGGCCACCCACCTGGTCGTTCAGGGTTATAGAGCTCTCCCCTTAGCGACAGCCCAATATATCCGGGAGAAGCTGCCTATTATAGATTGGCTCCCCCGGTATTACTATCGATGGCTGGTGAACGATGTAATTGCCGGCTTGACAGTCGGGCTCCTGCTGATCCCGCAAGCTCTATCGTATGCGAAAATAGGCGCGATTCCAATTCAATATGGGCTGATGTCAAGCTGGCTTCCGGGAGCTCTATATGTGTTTATGGGAACAACTAAAGGTTGATCATTTACTGGTGGTGGTGGTGTTTTTTTTTTGTCCCATTATTTTGCGCTGTTATGTTTTATTTCTTGACGAAATAAATGTTTCGTAGCTCATTGCTGATATTTCCTTCCACAGATGTATCCACGGGGCCAACATCCCTCATCGGCCTCCTGACTGCGGAGGTGGTCGTCGCTCTGCAAGGGGAATATACGCCTTCGCAAATTGCATCGGCAATGGCGATGATGATGGGTGTGTACAGCATGTGCATCGGACTTCTACAGCTGGGCTTCCTCCTCGAATTCATCTCTCTCCCTATCTTGACTGGGTTCGCTTCCGCCGTGGCTATGACCATAATTCTTAATCAAATAAGCTCTCTTCTCGGTGAACCTAGCGTAGGCGGGAGCACTGCACAACGGATTCATGGTATTTTCCGTAACTTGCCGAAAGCCAATGGTTTTACATGCGCTGTCGGCCTCACGGGAATCGTTCTCCTTGTCGTTCTTCAACAGTTAGGGAAGAGATGGGGTGACAAAAGTAAGATTATCTGGTTTCTGTCCACCATGCGGGCATTATTATGTCTGGTTCTCTATACCGGTGTGAGTTACGCCGTGAACAGGAATCGCGGAGACCCGGATAACTTCCTTTTTGCTGTTTCTGAAGTCCATGCAAACGGGCTGGAGCGACCTAGGATTCCGGATGTCCATCTCATCGCCAAAGTCGCCGGGCGGACCGTTACTTTATTTGCGGCCACTGCCGTAGAACACACAGCTATAGCTCGCACCTTTGCTGTTCAAAACAATTATGTCGCCGACCAGAGTCAGGAGCTCTTTTACCTCGGAGTGACAAACTTCTTAAACAGCTTCTTCAGTGCCATGGGTGTTGGAGGAGCCATGTCTCGTACCGCCGTCAACTCTTCCTGTAATGTGAAATCCCCTCTCTCAGGCCTTATCACCACCTGTTTTCTTTTGCTATCCATTTACAAGCTCGTACGGGTGCTCTATTGGATACCGAAAGCCACACTGGCAGCCAACATCATCACCGCCGTTGCGCCTCTTATTGCTCCTCCAAGTACTTTCTACAAGTACTGGAAAACCTCTCTAGCCGACTTTATTTCTTGCATGTTAGCCTTCTGGGTATCTCTCTTTGCAACGGCAGAAATCGGCCTCGTTACCTCCGTCGCCTTCAATGTTGCCTACTGCATTGGCCGTCAGGTATTCGCCCCCGTCTCGACCGTGGGATATGATACAATGCAAGGAGAAGACAAATCTCAGCCAGAGGTTGTTAAATTACCCACTTTCATACCCCCAAATGTCCGGATTTTCCGGTTCACCGACTCTTTCTACTTCCCCAACGCCTACGCCATAAAGTCCCACATACTCGACGTGATTCAAACCTTCCATGCCCCCTCGTGCAGTACCACGATCGGCTCCGAACCAAACCGCGGCTGGTCCGTAGTAGCCGAGAAACGAACTTCCAGACTGCGAAGGAGGGAGAATATTTTCGATATTTCCACGCTTCCTCCTATCCAGCTTGTGGTGTTTGATTTTACTAAGGTTAACCACACAGATGCGACTGCCGTCGCGTGGATGCGGAACCTTTTCGAGGAGTTGAAGAAATATGCCGGAAATGCGGTTGAGGTTAGATTTGTGGGGATGTCTGATTATGTGCGCCGGCGGTTTGAGAGGGGTGGATTTGAGATTATGGATGAGAATTGTTCGGTCGATGGTACTGGTGATGATGCGGATGTTGTCTGGTACTACCAGAGCGTCGTGAGGGCCGTCTATGAACCGAGACGGAGGGTTGGGGATGGGTGCCCCCAATCGATTCAGGGTGACAAGGAAGACGAGTAATTGAGTGGACGAAGAATTTTGTGTGATGCATGAAGCTTAATGTGGTGGCAGTTAATGTCTTTCCTAATCTGTTAGTAAAGGGTCATATTTAGATTTTTAGATTTTAGAAATTCTGTCTATAGAAGAAGCATTTAGTGTCTTTTTGATTATGAATAGCAATTGCACAAACTGACCATTATTTGTCCAGAAGACTATATTCGGAGTGGGAGGACTTCATCTCATCTCCCTTCACTATTTAGTAATCTGAGTACAACATTTGCTCAAATAACCTCTAGTCTTTGAAAATGGGACCGAATCATTCAGTTATTTTAACGTAGCTTAAACCAACCAGGTTGCAGCTTTTCAAACACCAGATTCGGATCATATTTGGCCTGTACTTTGCGTAGCTGCTGCAAATTCTTCTTGCCATATCCAACGAACGGCGACTGATGGGATCCTGCATAGTTCATGTATACGAAATCGTTTATTAAACCCAGTTCGGCCGCGGCGCCATTAGACTGGGATAAAATCGATTCACTGGCTGATATAATGATGTCGTCATCACTGGAACTAGCCCAGGTGAAGTTGATCAAGATAACTGCAGTTATATAGAGGTAGCCAGTGTTAACTAGCAAAATTGTGCATACAGCTTTTCCTTCTATTTCTTTTGAACGGGGAAATGGAAAATCTTTGCACCGTGTGTGAAAAGGGGAGAGATAAGGAAAGAGACCTACGGAGCAGCGGCCCGTCATCGGGGCTAATGCCAAGTATGTTCCCGCCCCGTTTTGAGAATTTTGAAATCATCGGTAGAGTTATTGCTTGAAAATTAACAGCACAAACAAATCCCTCTAGGTTGCTGATTTCCCCCTTCACCCGATCTAGCTCCGATACAACGATATCTACAATTCTATTCTGCAGCTCGATGCTGTTCTTGTAGGTAGCCGTGGCGTACCGATCGCGTAGTCCTGAGGGAGGGTTAACAGCAATCATTTCGATGGAGAGATTGGAGAGGCGTATAAGTTGAGTGTTATCCCGGATAGGGGGAATGTTTGCGAGAATTCCAAAACTGGATATAAAAAGCTCCGGATCAGGTACAGGACGGGCGTAATCTGTTATATGGCCGCATATCCACTGGCCTCCAGCATATGCAAAACTGGTTATTATGGCAAGATCGGAGTCATCAGCTGCATTTTTGTTAAATGAAGCCAATCCCTCTATTAGATGTTCTTTGGCATCTAGTGGGTAAGTGCGTATGGCGCTCCACATTTCCCCTTGGGGATAGGTGTCTAAGTCGAAGCGGGTTACGATACCGAAATTGTTCCCTCCACCTCTCAAGGCGCGGTATAGATCTGGGTACGAAGTCTGATTGACGTCTCGTAGTCGCCCATCAGCCATGACAACCTGTTTGTAGGGAGAGATATTAGCATGTCATGCATCTCATGACAAATGAAACGAAGTGAACAAGAATAACTAGCCTGATAATTGACAACATTATCGCAAGCAAGTCCTTCCTTGCCGGAGAAAAATGATATACCGCCTGCAAAAGAGTCAGACAACATAACAGCATATTGTCTCAGTGTGGATTCTCTAACTTACCCCCAAGCGTTAGTCCTCCAACCCCCAGAGAAAAAACCCGTCCACCCACAACCATAAGATCCATCTCATCGAGCTTCGCATACACTTCACCCCACCTAGCCCCAGCGCCAACGTAGGTGATCCGCTTATCATCAGACACATCTATTTCACTAATAGACCGAAGATCGATGGTTATTCCTTTTTCGATATTAGATGCGCCAGGAACATCCGAGTGACCTCCGCTGCGGACACTAAACGGGCATTTTGTCTTCCGTGAAACTGTAATCGAGGTCGACACCGAATGGGATCGTTTGGCAACAACAAAACAGCTTGGTGATAAATCAGACTGCTGTTGCGCCCAATAACTTGCCCGTGTGGAATTGTAGTCTTCAGAGCCAGGGAATTGTACTTCAGATGGAAGCACAGTGGCAAGAATGTCGCACTACATAAGTAAGAGTGCTATATTAATATCCGCTACGTAAAATTCAACTCAAGAAGAGCGTGAACAGGTCAAATGAAGTTGGCATAAAAAGAGTTAGCTTCATACCGCCTTCTCACAGCGTCGACTTGGCGCGGGAATTGCTAATTCGAGCTCCCGTATATGTGCAAGAGCTGGCCGCAGACCCAGCTGTTCAATGGTTTGGTCTAGAGTGAGTGGCACATACACATCCGCTGTTCGAGCTCCTACAAGAGGACATCTGGCCCAAATCGCCAACCCCAGGTTCCAGTGTATGGATGAGAAAATATTCATGGAGAGAACAGCTCTGGGAACAATATAGCAATATATCTCACACGTGTGATTGGAGAAGTAAATTCGCAAGGGGAGAATGGCAGAAAGCAGAGGACAGGTCCGGCTCCTGCCTTGCATATATGCCCAGAATTTGACAACATATTGCAAATTATCCGACAGCAGGCGCAACCTTGGAGTAGTGTGCACTAGGTTCAGCGGGTTGAAGTCATAGGCGACAGTATTCTGATAAAGTGATGTACTGCAAGCCTGACGAGCCAAACGTTCGAAGCAACGATACCACCAATAAGATGCAGGCACATGAGCTGAATAAGAGCTAACAAATTGGCAATGATGAAAGAAAAGAAAATAATAGAAGATAGAAGACGGGGTGTGGTATGGCCACATTCAAAAAATGTATACGCGAGGCTGCCAGTTGCAAGTCCACAATAGGAAAATTGTTGCATTAGATGGAACAGAAACCTGAGCCCGGCATACAGCTGACTGTCATAATTTCAGCCGCATCAATGCGAACGGGGCTGATCGAGCTTCACGCGCGTTGTTTCTCTGCAAGTATTGCGGGTGTGGGTGGGACATCCGTGATCCACTCATTGGTGTTGCTTCCGCCTTTCGACAGTCGATTTTTCTCGGCGCATCACGTCCTCGTCCTAATCCACCCCGTAATGTGCTAGGCCTTGCACCGTATCCCATGCTGAAAAGCGAATACGGACTTCCCTTCACAAAAGGGTTTATTGGCACCTGTGCTAGTCTAGGAAATTCTCCAGAGATCCAGTGCGGAGGGTAGCATCGAATGATAAATACGCGAAATGATGTCCTTTCAACCGGGCTGTCTGACAAATGTTGGAAAGAAAAGAAAATATCTTGACTTGCCGTGAAACTAAGGTTGTTGGTTACACCCGTCACACTAACCATCAACGGCTTAGTCCTGCCCCGCCTCTCGGGCCGAGACCGCTCCCGACGTCGAGTTTCCCAACCAATACCATTCTTGTTTTATTTTTATTATTGTTCTATGGAGGTTCCATTTCTAGGGTTGAAGCTGTGTGCTAATTTGGATTCTTAGTTGAGTGCATCATATCTGCCTGATCTCATCCTCCCCAGACCACACCCTTTTTCTGGATACGATAGCCAATCTTTCTGGGGACGGCGCTATCTTGCATCCTTCCGATCAGCTCTGAGAAGTATTTAGAGGATTTGAGAGCTGTTATTAACGAAGAGAGTGTGGTGATATATCTTTGGAACAAAGAATATGTCGTAGCGAATACACAAAGAATCTTTCTGTCGCCCCATCCAATGTGGAGAACTAATCAGTGGAAGATCTGATGAGTGGGGCGAAACACTTCTCTCAGACACGTATTGTAACCCATTTGTTTCATGTCGGGAAATCCAAGCCGGAACGTTTTGCGGCACGAGGATTTCCTGACATGCGTCGAAATGCCAACAGTTCTTCCTGTCAGGATTGTGTATTCGTCTCAGTGGATATTTATCGGTTGCTGTCCCTCAGTCATCTAAAAAATCGCTTTTTCTGAGTAAGAACCGGAACATGGCGGTTGGCGGAAAGGAAGTTGGTAGAAATATCAAGAATGAGTTGATGCCGGATTTTCACAATCAAAGCAGTCTGTCCACGGTTAGGACGAGTGCCTCTTTGTCTCAAATAAGAGTTGACGCTGGAGAATCTAAGGATATATCAGCGTGCTGCAAAGCATGATTGCACGAAAGCAAACACACTAACATGATTATCATTTTGCCTCGTTCGTTGAGCATTATTAATATGGGGTCATCTGGAAACCCACACCAAAGAGAAGAGAAAAGAAAAGAAACGCAAATCAAGCTCATTCGTCTATCTAAAGTCACGGAGAGATTTAAACAAAAAAAGGGTCGGTCACTGGTCCCCGAGCTCATCTCATCACATTTCGCAAACTCGGATTATTCGTGCGAGGTCTCAACAGCACCAGACAGTAGCTACACTCGTTCGTGCATACGCTTGAACGAACATGGCCACCTTTGGTCGTGGTCCCTCATCCGATGGAACAAGTTCGGATTTGCTCGAACATCCACACGCTCCCCGCGTCAAGTTTTCATTAATCAAACTCCTTTACCAATCAATAAGCCAGCAGCAGTTATCATGAAAAACAATGGCATCAGAACCTAGAACGAGACCGCCACCTAGAACGAGACCGCCTGCAGACATGTTTATGGACTGCTGCAGAAGGCCACCCAGCAAAAAAGGCCAAACACCTGAAGATAGTGTGCCTAGACTTTTCAAACGAATGTGCAGAAAGAAGATCAGGAATTGATAGCCTCTGGGGCACACGCGATTATTAGCGGATCGCTGTAATTTAACTGCACAAAGTATGGTCCCTCCGAATTGATTATGCACAAGTTTCAGAGGGGGTAGTCGAGGCATATCCTGGAAGTGCCGTCCCAGTGAAACCGTGGGGCTTGTGCTTATTCCCAATGCCGAGGGAGGCTCTAATTGGTTATCAAGGTTTTCTATGTTCAGCAAAATGGGGGTTCGAACTTCGCTGATACATGCAAAACGCCCATGGGAGACCATGATGACGAATCAGCCACACTGGGAGCTCTTTTAATACGTTTTCCTAAGTGCGATGGTACTTCAATAATCCTAGAGCATCATGAAGTAAGTGTACCCGAAGAGTTTTGGACCTGTTCGCCCAAAAACACAGTGCATGTCACAGATAGCAGCGCTTCCAATTGATACGAGAAATTGTTTCTCAGCTAAAGACATGTTTGTGGTCCACATTAGCGAGAGTGAAGATTGACCAAGGAAATGCGACTATTGTGTTATATCTGAGGTTGCTTCATGTCCTTATTGCCGATAAACGTAATTAATTTTGAAGGATCCCTAAATATATACTCTTGAGAGGCATGGGCTTCAAGACTCAGCAATATAGCTCCTCGATAGGTGTCAAACGGGCAGCCAGAGCGGCCACTTCTAAAAAGATCCACCAAACAACGCCACAAAAGCGGCTATCGAGTAGTTAACTATCATTCATTTTGCCTCATATCCTCCGAATTTAGAGATTTCTTGCCTACTCATGTGACAATAGCCAACACTAGCCATTTGAAAACGCTTGGGGGGATGAAACGTACGATCCATTGGCTATAAAAGCCGGGTGAAATCCGCGGATATGAGGGGGGAAGAAGCAAAAGGTTTTGAATTTGAGTTACTGCGGTTATTCGCTGATTGGATTCTACGCTATTCCTCGAGTCCGATAATAAGAGAGTATTTAGTCCAAGCAAACGTTGAACGCTGTAGTTACCATCAGAGCGACGTATAGAGAAGCACTGTTGTTCTTCAGAAGCTGGTGGAATTTCTAGAACCGTAGAAGCGCGTCAAGTCCTACGGTAGTCAGATAACACAACTGGGTTAAATATGAACGGATGGACTTGAGCTTTCTGTGCCTGAAGAAAGAACCTGTGGAAGCCTTGGGCTATTATTAACTGACTCTATGTTTGACCAGATGTTGCTTTGTGGCTGGCAATTGCTGACAAGGGGCGAGTGCCAAGACAATTCGAACCACGCGATGTTAATTCCAGCCTCCAAACCCACCAACCTCTCCGCTCTCTGCTAGACAAAACAGCCAGCCTCATCAACCGATGTCATTGCAGAGAGCGAACGGCACCTCCCACCGGTAGAAGCTCAATAGGCCCTCTCACGGCAATCGATATGCCAATTTACCCACTGCAGCGAACTCCGGTTTGATTGGCCAGGGGAGAAGCGGCGTGCGGGCTCCGTCCGACCCACATCTGTGTATATTCCTGGAGAAGTTCTTTTATTATTGGCTGGCATACTGGGTCTAAGGGGGAGCAACATGGCACCCACAGGATTGATTGACAGGCTTAAACACCTGTACAGTAAAGACGGTATATTGCGTTGTTTTTTGCTCTTTTTCTAAAATACCCATCCGCTAGATGTTCTCCCTCCTGACACAGTCCGCTTCGGCTTAGAAAAACCGCAGCCAGTGCTTTCAGTACACGCGGCTGTCATTTTATCGGTATGCTTTTCTTTTTATTGACTTGCAAAATGGTTTCTGTTGTCCATCTGAAGTATTGGATACAACCCGCTGTCTTGAAGAACACTCCGCATATCATTGTTTATCCACCGTTGCATCTACAAGCGCAATCTCTTAATTTGACTCATCCTGTGAATTTTAGGTGATCTTTACTCTGCTCTATGTTATACCATTCTACGTCTCTCCCTCAACCAGGCCATCTCCAGCTCTCAGCCGAGATGCACCGTCCGTGATTAAAGCTCGCATTCGAGCCGTCACGACTTCATGCTTTCTCTCGAGTCTCGGGTTATTCTGCTACTTTGTATATAAAGCCAATTACGCGCCCTCAGAAGTCCTACGGTTGTTAGGATGGTGGCCGATGGGGCCGCTGGAAATCGGAAAATGTCTGCTGCTCACCACACTTCTTTTCATGGGCCCTCTGTTCGAGGCCGGGATTGTTGAGGGTGAGTGGAGAGATTGGATTCGCGGAAGGCGAATCGCAGAAACGCTGGGGGGGTGGATTGGCTGGAGGAATTTCGTCGCTGTGAGTCCTCTTGTTGACCGGGATAAACACCCCATGCTG